ACCCAAAACCCCAAAACCCCAAAACCCCATTACTATTGTAATTGTAGAAAGTAGAGTGACTGGTAAATCAGAGATTTTATTTAATTTTTATTACATTAAAATAAATATTTGACCTTGAAAATGAGACCCACAGACTTAAAATTCAGATCACCCAAGCAGAGAACACCAGAATTTTATAATGCCAGAGTAAAAATTAGCAAAAATTCTTAATGCTATCGATTAGGTTACTCCCGATGGAAGAAAATTAAACTTTGTTGCTAACTCTCTTAATGTCAAAAAAACTTTCCCCTCTCAATCAAGATTCCCTTAGTATCATGTTTGGGAAAAAGTAACAGGGAAATTTCTAGGACCAGGATCCTACAATGATAATGATAATTTCTAAGTCTTGAAGGCAATACCTTGTGCTGCCATATATGTATGCAATCTTAAAATTACCTTATTTAGAGAAATTAATCCTTGGGTAGAGAAGCAGGAAGACCAGCTTTTATTATGATTGGAAATAATCTTTAATATGAGCCTAAATTTGAGAATATTCATGTGCAAAGATCTAAAGAGAGAGTAAGCGTCGATGAAGTCGGAAGAGTGCCTGCTATTTCTGCTTTTGGAAGATCTAGTATCAGACAATTAAGGAAGTCGAGCACTAAAATAGCTTACAATCCAGACGATATCTCTACAATTAACCATCAATCGTTTATCAATCAATCTTATAATGCTAACAATGATAGTCTTATAGCTTATCCCCACATGAATAGACCTTAATCCAGCTATGTAAGCTAATTCCCCAAACTAATTATTATTAGCAACAAATCAGGCCTATGAGTTAACTTGCTCAGAGTGAGCAAAGAGTGCAAAGCGCTAATTAATATGTGAATGACGACAAGGATAAAAATGACTCACCAGATAATAACTAGAAGTCTGTGAGCACCAAAGCATCTGTAATTTGAATAAATTTTACAATAACATCTAGACATTTATGGGTATGCAGTCTCGCAGTTTCCTTAACAACTCTTCAAATAAAAAGCAAGATCTTTCATAGAGTCTTGGAGAGTCGCAGATGTATCAGAATTTAGACAACTCCTAAATCTAGTAAATGTACTCTAACAGACTTCTACAAAATGCAGCTGGAGATTTTGTAAACGGCAGCAGAGTCTATTATGCAAAGACTGCTAATAATTTCTACAATCTTTCCAAGGGCTTGTGGAGACCAACCAAGAAGCAAAGAAGATCTGGCAGTGGACTCGGCTACAACAATAGTGGTTAACAGCTCCAGAAATCTATCAACATTCTGCAAGCTTATGGAGAGTATGATTAGTACAAAAAGCATACAAAGAAAGGTAGGAAATTTAAGAGTGGCAAATCTCAAACAACATCTAGTCTCGGATTTTAACAGCTTTAGCAGCCTTACTAGCATTAAATCTAGTAACAGTAGATGTAAATGGAGCACAGTTAATAAGAAAATTTGCAGTGATTTGAAGTTTATAATCTTTAAGCTTTGGATAAGAGGTATATGTGTGATGCAAATTATGAATAAGTTTATCTATTATATAACTAACCTAATTATACTTTAGAATCAAATATCAAAGATTTCAATTCTTTTAAGAATTATGAGTTTTGGGGTTTTGGGGTTTTGGGGTTTTGGGGTTTTGGGG